GCTACTTGCCTAGCGAGTCTTAGAAACCGGTTGCAGAAAACCTGGCTGTATCAGCTCAAATCACTGATCAGATTTTCAGGTCCCAAGGAAATTTAGGCTCAGCCAAACTTTTTAATTCTTCGGAAGACTCTCTGGGTTGGTGCTTCTTAGAGGTGTTCTGCCCATTGGTAGCAGTCAAGAGGTCTGGAGTATGCAGACTAGTTCCCTTTATACCTTAGTTTTGAAAAACCACTGATTTGTGAGCTTGACTAGACCTTGAGTGGATGATCCATAGAATTGACATGGAATCCCAGACTAAAGTTGCATTGTCTTAAAACAAGAGATAAACAATTCAGTCTATTCTTGGTGGTGAGTAAAAGAAGACTGGGAAAGTTCCAAAATTCAAGCACAGCAAAGCACTGAGTCTTGCCAGCATGAGACCAATGAGTACTAAAAGGAAGTTATAGCTACAGGTGGAAAAATTACTATTTTTGTATTTTCCTTCCCAATGCCCTCAAAAGCTTTGGCAGATATGAATAGAAGCTTCTGCCCTTGCTGTACAAAAGAGAGGAGAGGGAGAGGGAGAGGGAGAGGGAGAGGGAGAGAGAGAGGGAGAGGGAGAGGGAGAGGGAGAGGGAGAGGGAGAGGGAGAGGGAGAGGGAGAGGGAGAGGGAGAGGGAGAGGGAGAGGGAGAGGGAGAGAGAGAGAGAGAGAGAGAGAGAGAGAGAGAATATGAATGAGAATTTAAAGGAGAAAATTGAATTCAATATCTGGACTTATAGAGTCAGGCCTGGCAGAGCAAATGTTAGGTTTTCAGTGAAATAATTTCTATAAGTTGGAATTAAATTGATTTGATGGCTTTGAGGCTAATACCTTTGGGTATCCTTTTGAAAGGATCTTTTGAAATGTCTGTTTGTAGAAGAGATATGAGGTTCAAAATAATATTTGAAAAATGTTAGGCATATCAAAAGAGAAATTTTATTAGAATATTCCTAATCTTTTTAAAATTAATCTTGCATCAGTTTTCATTAGGGGAACACTGAATAAACAACAAGTTCCTTAGCCATGTCTGGTATACTCAACTTGTGTGCTAGTTAGGACGTTTTGCCAAAACATCAATTTTCTTTCTTAGCCTGGGGGAACTGAAGTAGCAAATGGATGTCACTTTTAAAAATAGGCACACAATTATCTTTTTGGTGTATGCTACATGAAAGAGTTTAAAAGAAAAAAAACACTTCCTTTCCCATAAAACTCCTTTTTGTTAGTATCCCAGAGTTAAGTGCTGGGGAGGTAAAGAGGGTGGAGAAATATCTCGGCATTTAGCTTTAGGTTGCACAAACCACACTAAATGCTCTATGCTTTTATGATAGCACCGTATTCCTTTCCTGGATTTTCAAGTCTTTCAACATTTCCTTTGACCAGTGACCTTGTAGGAATTTTCCTACGTGTATATAGCAAGTAGGAAGACAACACAGTGTAGAAGTATTCAGTATTTCTTATCTGTGTGTCATTTGCTTGTTCTATGGTCACGGGAGATTATAATTTTCCAACCTCAAAGAATGTGTTTTGTTAATTCCTTTTCAAATGCTCCTTACTCAGTGAATGATTCAGAAGGGAAATGCTCAGATTCAGGTGAAGGGAGTCATAGCAAATACTTGCCAGACCACAAAATCTTCAGCTGCATTGGCTTTTAAGGGTGATTTCAGTTGCTTAAGAATTTTGGTGTGAAAACAGTTCGTAGCTAATTTGTGGAAATTCTGCAACCATCACAAGGACAGGGATCATTGTCATTTATTCATGAAGAGCCTTTTAACAATCACTCTACTTTAATTAATTTTTTATCTCTTTATCATCATTGGGTACATTGTTAGATCTTCTAATAATTTACAGATTCAGGGGTAGAATTAGGGAAAGCAAGATTATCCTGCCTGTGCTTTGGTCTCAATGCCCTGACTCAGTCATTCTCAAATGTGAGCATGGCTCAGAGTCACTGAAAGGTGTGTTAAACTATGGATTGCTGAGTTCCTCACCCCTCCAACAGACTTTCTGATTCAGTAGATCAGGGGTAGGGCCTGAGATTTATGTTTCTAAATAGTTCCCAGGTGTGGCTGATATGGCAGGTTTCAGGACCAAACTTTGAGAACCATTGCTCTAACCAGCCACCAACTCCCACCCATTCCAGCACATTCCACTTTTCTTTTGTGTGCAGATAATTTTTTCTAGTCTCTTCTTCTTTCCCCACTCATTTTTAAATATGACGCTAAATATGCCAAATATGCGTAAGCCAGCCATGTAACTTAATAACTTTCAAAATCAACAGTGTTCCTCTCATTTATTCACCTGGGCATTGTAGTAATGCAACTAGTTAGCTCAGGATGGATTGACATTTCCAAAGAGCACAGCCATTCTTGTGAGTTACATAAGCTCAAACAGGGTCGTAGTAGAATTCTGTGCTGGAATGCAAGCTTATTTCTGTTCCACTATGGAGTGTTTGGCTCCAGTGGTGTCATTTGCTCATCAACCTGGCCTCTGGCTATCAGTAGAGGTGTTCCCTGAATGTTTGTTTTGGGAAAACAGTAGAGTTCATATTTTCATACAGTGAGACACGTATTGTCTCCAATGTATTTTCAAATCAGTTATGCCTCGGTTGTTGGGGAGATCTTAAAGTAGATCATCAAGTTGGTCATCACTAACACGCAGGAGGTGTAAATATAACCCATGTTAAGTGTGGTATAAATGCCAAGGAAGCAGTTTATCTTGTTAAATTCCATCGAGGGCAAGTGACACAGCAGCTGCAGATCTGTCCATAGTGGCCTGGGGGATACATGCCAGCACTTTGACGATCTTATCTGTATTCCCACAGGTGGGAAGTCCTTGGATGTGATCAGAGCTACAATTATAATGGACTTGAGAAAGTCATTGAGAGAGGCAGCCACATTTGCAATGCTCAGGACTAATTCAATGGATTTTCTTCCCATCTTCTGCAGCATTCGACAGCTTCTTTGGTGACCAGCTGCATTGCCTGGCAGTGGGCTCAAGTGCTCACAACTGCACACAGCAAGGAGCATTCTGAACAGTGATGTTCCAGTTTTAAAGGACAGAGCTGCAAACAAAGGTAGGCCTTTATTTTGGGTGAGATCCTTTCAACTGCACAAAATCTCATGCCTGACCATGTGCCATTCACCACTGCCACACTCATGGCACTAGGCCTGTCTTCACTCTCTTCTTTTTGAATCCTGAAAGGGGCTAGGGATACTTGATGTCAGCCTCATGTCCTGAGTTTCCTGTTTCTTAACTCTCTCCATGTGCCATTTGCCTCTTTGCTTCTCTTCTTTATCACGTTCAGCTCTGATCCCTTCCTTTGATGAACACTATTGATCTGTTCTGACAGAAGAGTTCCTATGGTTTATTAAGATGATTATTTTTGACAGTGGTTTGGTTCCCTGAATGTAATGTTTTGTGTTTTCTTTTGATGGGAGAAAACACACAGTGTTGCAGCCTTTATATGAAATACACAGTAAGCCCAGCTCTGCCTGCCCACGGATCCACAATGAAAGTAGCTACCTACAAAGTATGGTGATACTTCTTCATTGCACTTGTCACGTTTAAGAGCTGTGTGCATTTGAGTAATTGGTCATTATCTATCGTCCTCACTGAACATAGGCTATTGTGAAGATAGTGGCTACTTGTTTTTCCCACTGTTGGATCTCTAAATGCCTATCAGAATGTCTTGTACCCAGCAGCTACACAATAATATTTGTAGTATGGAATGAGAGAATATGTGTACTACTTGAGTGATGGAAAGTCCTTAGCTGGTTTTAACTACACGTTGAAAATGGTACTCTGCTGTGGGAAGGGCTTTGCCAAAAGACTTAAGTTTTAGTAATGAGTGTGTGTGTGTGTGTGTGTGTGTGTGTGTGTGTGTGTGTCTTAGTCTATTTTGAGACACTCAAGGGTTGGTATTTGTTGGGTGGAAATAGACAAAGTATCACCCAATAAGGAGAAATATTAACTATGATGAATTACACAAACCTTCCATTCTAGCACTTTATATTATGTTTTTCTAAACTTTGGAAACATGGCCTGTCCTAGTTTTGCTAGAGTTGCCATAACAAAGTACCATAAACTGGGTGACTTAAACAACAGCAATTTATTGCCTCTCAGTTCTGGAGCCTAGAAATATAAGATCAAGGTGTCCACAGTGTTGGTTCCTTCAGAGGACTGGCAGGGAAAAATCTCTTCCATGCCTCTCTCTGGTGGTTCCTCACAATCTTTGGCATCGCTTGGCTTGTAGAAACATTACCCTGCTCTCTGCCTTCATGTTCACATGGTGTCTCCCTTATATCTGCATCCTCTTATAGGACATCAGTCATATTGGATGGGGGCCCACTCTACTCCAGTATGACCTCATCTGAGCTAAATACATCTACAGCAACCCTATTTCCAAGTAAGGTCACTTTCTGAGGTGCTGGGGTTAGGACTTCAACATATTAGTTTTGAATGGTCATAACTATTGAACAAAAGATGCATTGGCTCAACCAGGGTCTTTGTGTCCAGAAGCACTTCAGGTTCCTTGACAGCTCCTTTCAGTGGCAGGGTTTTGCTCTTTCTCTGATGTGGGGTTGGGATGATCTTGGCTTAGCAATTAATTTTGACTTAACTAGTTAAACCTGTTTCAGAGAGCCAGCCAACAAGCAGGTTGCCAGCTGGCACCCTTCTCTGTGCCATCTCTAGTGACAGGGACATTGCATGAGACATTATGAGAAGATTTCTGATGTCTGCAGAAGGTACAAGAATTCCCCTCACTGGCACGTGCAAAGCAGTCCTCTCTTCCCCCACAGTGTGTGATGGAGGCAAGAGAAGCTTTGAGGATAGTATCTGGAATTGGCTACTTAGAACCCTGACACCAGTTGATGAACACCATTGATCTGTTCTGACAGAAGATTTTCTATGGGGAAAAAAACAAACAGACACATAACACAAAAAACAGGGTGATGAAATACACAGGAACCATCCGACACAAATATTTTACTTCACCATAGTAAAGGAGGAAGGTAATGTTTGACTTCTGGCTGAATGTCCATGACAAAGACTAATGTTTAATCTCATCTCTGGCGTGTTATCAATAGGACATGTTACATCGCTTGTTTGAAGCTTCCAGGTGCTTAGGAAAGTAACTGGCTGAGGTATGCAGGCTTCCCACAGAGTGAGTCAGTTGTCCATGCTGATGTAGCCTGTGCTCTATGGTACATCCACCAGGAGTGCAGTCATTTCTGTTGTTCTGGATTCAATGGGAGAGACAGAGAAGCAGGTGAGTGAAGTTGCAATAGGGGGCCCACACCAGGGCAGATGGTTTGTCCCAAGGTGAGTTAGCAGGAGGGGTGGACCTTGAATGTGGATCTCTTGCCAAATGGTCCAGAGTGCACATGAATAAAAAATAGCATTAGGTAAATGAGGAAAGAAAGAAGGTCAGGGGTAATACTAAATAAGAAACAAAAGATGCAAATGATGAGAATAAGTGATGAGCCTGAAAAAGGATTATAAAATGTGGCCTTGCTTCTAGTCTGGACTACCCACATGATCCCAAACAACTTATCTCCATACAGTGGGCCTCATTCTTTCTCACCTGGAAGTGCAGGTAATGGGATCACTCTTATCTAGGGAAATTTTAGGATAAAACTTCTGTAATATTGTCATTGTAAGCCAATGTAGAGTCTCAATTCCCTGTGTCAGCCTGGATCTGACTCGATAGTCTTAATGTTCTATATATTTAAACTTCTATCTAATTAGTTCTTGTGTTTTTATATATAGTTAAAAACTTTCCTTACTTCCATGGTTTTAGGGTGTCAGTATCATGAGATATAGCCTAAAATTATTTTATAAGAAGCAAGTCACCAACATTTTTTAAAAGCCTATTTTGTTGTTTCTGAAGCTAAATACCTTAAGATTATAAACCTCAATGGCATAAAACAAAATTAGGCACCCTCCCCCAACAATAAGAACAAAAAATCAGGGTGTTCTAAACCAAGGCCCTCGTTGGATACACACACACACACACACACACACACACACACACACACACACACGTATCATGTATACTAGAGGCTCGGTGCATGAAATTTGTGCACAGGGGGGTGGGTGTCTCTCAGTCCAGCCTGCCCCTTCTCACAGTCTGGGAACCCTCAGGGGATGTCCTAAGCCGCAGTCTGGCCTCCCTCTGTGGGAGGCGACCCTGTGATCAGGGGAAGGCAATGCCCCCATCACGCCTCTGCTGCTGCCACTGCCAGCCACAAGGCTTCCCGAGCCTCGGCCATTGCAGCCACTACGGCTTGCCTGAACCTTGGGCCCTTGCAGTGGCATCGGCCATTGGCGGCTTGCCAGAGCCCTGGGGCCAGCCCTGATCAAGTGGCAGTGGTCATCGGGAGCACTCACAGCCACCACCGCCAGCTGCCAGTCCCCACCCACGCCTGCTGTGCATGCAGCCTAGTGATTGGTCGTTATGTGACAGCATCCCAACCAATTTGCATATTACCCTAATATTAGATAGAAAAATGATCCTGCCTCCAGTTCTTCAAACTATAATTCAGGGGAGATATATATATATATATATATATATATATATATATATATATATATATATATATATTAGCTTATAAGAAGAGAGAAAGTTCTTATGGAAGATGGGCTTCAAGACATATACTGTGCATTTAAATCCACAGTGTATGGATTTGATGGCATTTGGAAGTATAGTAACAATCTACCCAGTAAACGTAGAGTTGAGCCTAGACCATTTTGGTAAAACAATCAGTGTGGCAGGAATTTAGCTCACGCAAGAGCTTATCTCCACACAGAGGGCCCTCATAAGCAGCATCCTTAAATGTTCATGTTGGTACAACATTGAGATGCTGTGTTAATTGATCATATTGGATGGTGGGAGGCCATGCTGGATCGTGGTCAAGGGAGCAGGCTTCCTGGAATCCAGAGGTTGTTTTAAAAACTATTTCCAGTTCTCATACCTGTGTGACCCCAAAGTCTCAATTTCCTATCTGTAACCTGTTGATGGATCTCACATTTCAATTTTCTTTCGGTATGGGGCTTACACAGAATAATAAATGTGAAATGCTCAGTAAAGTGGCACCGAGCAAATGCTTAATAAATACTAGGTAGTTATTAGTATACTTTTATTATATGCTCCATTTCGGAGAAACTGAATCCATTACAATAATGACTTTCCATCAACATGGATCACTGTTCTTCTTAATCTATGACTGATCATGAAGTTTCAAGTATACCAGAACCCCATAGATCCAGATCTGAAGAGAAAGAAAACATCCTTGAGGTAAGGCATGGGCGTGGTGGTGCTGCTGTCTTCGGAGAACCCAGTCCATTACAAGTCTGAACAATGTGATCCTTGCTCTGGGCAGAAAACATGGAACAAGAAAATGTCTGTTTTGTAAGAAGACAATTCAGACTTGTTTTTCAGGGCCTTTCATAATCTCAAACTCCTCAGCTGCAGCAGTGCAGGAGCAAGAATGATCGAATATGGCATCCAGTTATTGTGAAAAAATAAAAAGAAAAAGTAGTGTGCAAACTCAAGGTGAGTAAATAGAAATCTGGTGGAAAAGAAGACAAGAAAGACAGTATAAAATGTGAATGAATATAAACATATATCTCCAGGTATATGGAAATACAAAAATGACTTTAACAGGCTGTCCCATTTGAGTAAATGTCTGGCCCCTCTTTGAGTACCTCCAAAGATGGGGCATTTCATGTATTAATGAAGCATCCCACCCACTGGCTGGAGGGACCAGCTGTAGATAACTTTGTAGAGGCAGTAATGAGGAGGAAAAACAAATCTTTCTTTTTTCTAACTGTGGTTTAGATCCTGGCTCCATTGTTTAATATTTTTGAACTTTGGATGGAAAATAAGAGGATACATAAATGGACATCATAATAGTACCTTCTTCAAGGGGTCGTTGTAGAGATTCAATAAGACAATGCATATAACTCATATAGCCCAATGCCTGGCACGGAACTAACACTAATGGACCCAACTGAGTGTTCAATTAATTTAATTATGATTATTGAGCACCTGTCTGGCTCCAATGTTTTACATTTGAATAGTTGACTTTATTTCTCTCTACTTCTATTGTCTATAATGGGGATTTGAGGCTTATCTATGACATGAGAATGTTGACAGAGTTAGATGTGTTGATGATACAGTTAAAGCTCTTAGAACAGTGCCTGGAACTATTTGACATCATTTGATGTTAGTCATTGACAAAGGTGTTGTCTGTCCAGTTGCCACTTCTTGTTTTACTCTTTTTGCTCAATGAGTTTCCCTCAAGCAGGACTCCTGTGTCCTTCCTAGCTCTCATTCTTCATGAGCACTCTTTAAGAGTAAGGTAGAATTGAAATAGCAGGTTTAAGTTCCACATCGCACATGTGCCTCCCATGAGTAAGAGTGGATGGGAGTAAATCCATTTCCAGGGACAGATAGAGAAACAAGCCCAGAGGAGGCTTGAGGGTGAAGAGGTCAGCAGTTACAGTGTGGTTTAGAAAGAACACAAAGTACTCTGAGAAGTGGAGGATCAGGGTGGGGATAAGACAACATTTATTTGGGAGCCTGGCAACATGGCTCTGGACATAGGGAGCTTGCTCTGTCAGGTGCTGCTTACCTTTCGTAAGTGTGAATTCCACTTAGGTTAACACTTGGTACATACCCTTCTGCATCCACAGTCTGTTCCACACTAGTTTTTGGCAAAATATGGTATTCTCTGGTCACACCCAATCTATTCTATCTTTATTCTGAGTGTCCAGGATTAATGAGATAATCATACCCTGAGGCTTAACTGGTTGAAATCTGCAAATCTCCTAAATGGGTAATTACCTATTCATAACCTTTCTTTCCAACATTGTGTAAATCTCATTAACACATATTTATTATTATTATTCATATTATGGAAAAAATTGCTTTTTTTTTGACATTGAAAGAACAGTGGGCAAGGGGAGACCAGATGTTTCATTGGAGCTACTTGGTTTTATCTCCATGATCAAATAAAGGAAGCTGTCTCCAAGTATAGGAGATTCTCTCAGCGCACTTCTGTTCAACCTTCTGCTTTTAGAGTGAGACCCCTCTGCTGAGGCCTGAAGGAACTGGTGTGAGGTTGTAACATTGAAGAGTGAGGGTTAGGCTAATCTTGACTCTCATCTAGAAGTGGTTCCTAGAAAGACATGGACTCATACACCCTCATGGGATGGGAACCATGCAGAGAACAAAATCAACTCTGAACAGGTGCTGCATACAACCTTAAGACTCTTTACCTAACACATCTGTCTGGACTGGGTACCAAGCAAGCATGTAAGATTACTTGTTTGTATACAAAGAATTATAGGTGATTGGAGATTATAAAAATGTCTTATTTCTGAAGTTGCTTAATTGAGCAATTTTTCTAGGTAGAGATGACATGAACATTAATGGAACTTTCATGACATCCCCAGTTTATTTAATCAGTTGTTTGATTCATAACATATGGTGTGGCTTTATAGAATATGAAGTGGTTTTGTAATTTTCTTTAAAGTTTCCAAATAACTTTTTGTGGAGCTGCTGCCTAATCCTTCCTATATAATAAAAGCCTAATATGCTAAGAGTCTGACCATTCTGTTCAACCAGTCACTATGATGCCCACTGACCAGCAGGGAGCAGATACTCCAACTGGTAGGTTAGCTTGCTGCTGGGGTCTGGTGGATGGGTCCTGGGCAAGATGGGCCAGACACACCCTGAAGCCCTCCTGTGGTCCTTCCCTGGCCCCGATCATGCACCGGTGGGGTCCTTCACCTGGCCTATGTCCTCTTGCAATCCGGGACCCCTTGGAAGATGTTGGAGAGCCAGTTTTGGCCTGATACCCAGAGGTCAGGCCAAGAAACCCCACTGGTGCATGAATCCGTGCACTGGGCCTCTAGTACTAAATAAAATTGCTTGAAACCATGGCCCCTTCCTACTACGTGAGATGAGGCAGAACATTGTTTACCTGCGTATATGTGACCATCTATTCCTTCCCACACACCTTCCATTTAAGGTATCATAGCTGAAAGAGACCCACTAGGGAAGCAAAAAACCACAACTCTCCTTCTGCCACTGCCACCAAGAAGTATGCTATGGCGGGTGAGCCTCTTAAATTCTCTGGGCCTCAGAAGAGAGGGTGTAGATCAGGTAACCTCTGGATTATACTTTAGCTGTGTGTGGCCTTCAGCAAACCATGGCCTCAGCCTTGAGGGGAC